ATGTTTAGAAACATAATTATTATATTTACAAATACAAATAACTAAATAGCTAATAAGATAACATAATTATAAGAAAACATAAATACTAAATTAAAGATTATATTTTAAATAAGAAAATTATATTACTCAATTAATATTTTGGTTTTAAGTTATTTTAATTAAACTAAATTATTAAAACAGACTCGCGCGTAGCGCGAGTCTAAAATCTAGTTTAATAAAGGTTTTATTTTTTTTGGTATAGTGGTATCGTTTTGAAACCGAAAAGATCCTTTTGGAATATAAGAAGAGAAAAGAGTGTTGGGCATTGTTGTATGGTCCCAGTCGTAGTTCGACAGAAAATGATATTCGTTGATGTGTTTGAAGTCACATGGTGCATGCTTTTCTATTTTAAGGCGTTTGATGTAACTTAGTATCTAAAGTGGTTGGTTTTGGTTTGTGGTTTATATTATTTTGTTAATTTGATTTTGGAAATTTTAATTTATAAGAGAACTGAAGCTCAACTAGTCAGTTTTTTTTGTGCTAAAATGTAAATACCTTATATATGAAAGTTTTTTTTTATTTGTTAAACAAAATGAAAGGTTTAGGTTTACAAAAATCTCTATTTGTAAACGTTGTAGGTTGTTGTGTTGCGTGACCAAATTCCTTAGTGTTGATGGTGCTAGTTTAGTTTGACTTGTAAATTTGTAAGATATTGACGGGCCGGTTTGGACACTAACCCGTGATTATTATTTCGACAAGACCCTCAAGATGTAAAACGTACGATATGTTAGGTTCGGTTCCTCTCTTTTCTTTTAGCGTTCTTCGGTAATTTCGAATTTTAGGGTTTCCGTTTGCAAATGTCCTTCTACGCCATGAAAAACAATTTAAAAGTGAAGAACCTAAAAAACCATAATTATGACTGCCGGCAGAGACTCAGACTCTGAATCCCAAAATCGCCAGGTCCATTAGAGATGAGGGTTATAAGTTATGAAAAGGATTATTGGGCTTATTACTAACTACTTGTCTCATGTCTGCTAAAATAATTTGGACCTTTACTGGGCTTAAATATAAAACCAGTAGAACTGGACCGGCTCTGCATATGGTATTTCGGATCACCAGAAAACGAGGTGTCCCCGGCGGTATTGAAGATGAGCTTTGAGGAAGAGCATAATACTTTTTCTAAATATGCATAGAAATGCGATTCAATGTGTTTTTCATGTGACTGAGATTTTATGAATGTTAGAAACAAGTACCTTTTTCCCCTTCTTCTATGAGCAATCAAAGTCATGTGTGTTGATAATTATCAAACAAATACCGAAAAGAAGTAAGGGATTTCTGTATTAAATTTTATTGTTCTTTATATTTTCTTTACCGTTCATAAACGATTGTTACGATTCACATGACTTTTTCTACACTTGGAATCTTATAAACCTGCAAACTGTGTGTTGTCACTATCATTTGGTAGAGTGGAAAAGTCCATAATAAAACATTAACACGGGCCAAAAAAAAAAAGAAAATATATGCATGTGGTTTATGGTACTTGGTATATGCATGTGGTTTATGGTACTTGCATGCATATGACATGCAAAATTTAGCAAATACTTTACGTTCTTTTACTCAACGTTTTGTTTATACTCAGAAATATTTGTTGGGAGCCAACGGTAAGGTTTATTTACTTGTTTCTCTTCTCGTACTGAATGATTACATGAATAATAAATACAAGAACCTTAAGCTATTGTATCGTGTCCCGAATGAAGTGTATCTTATCTTGTGATTGTCTAATAGAAGTGGATGGTAATTGAACAAGTGGCAATAGTGTGAATGGTGACGTGAGCACTCTGCTTATGGTCTTTTGTTCTTTGGAACCTGCCTGTATTAACTCCTGGGCGGCTGGGCCTCAGCTACTTTGAAAGTTTGTAGCTTAAGTGTCTCCATTTAATTAGCTGGCTTGACTTTTTCATTAAATTGTTTCCCATTTATATATTTATAATACTAATCGTTGAAAATAATGTTTCAAACTTTGGTTTAGATATGCCAACAGTGGATTGTCCCACAAGTCAGATATTTTTCATGAGTCATGAGCAGTCCTGGTCATGAGCATATTTATTATTTAGATCCAAGACAAAAAAACACAAACTGGGAAGGTCTATTTATAGAAGGGCATCTTTTTTAGAGTGTCACGGACTCAGATCCTGTCTTTTTGAGTGTCACAGACTTCACTATCCTATCCCCATGAGACCAGAACCAATGAGAGCCGCTATGAATAAAGTCTTGCCCACATATCAAATAATTATTTAGTAATGAATAATTCTCGGGTGAATTCTTTAAGAGAAATCGTTATATGACACACGTACAGAGGAAATAACCAAAAATCGTATTATATCTACGTGTTAATCTTGTGGCAACTTCCTTATGTTTATGAGTTTATCCCTTAGGAGATAGATACTCTCCTTTTTTGGTAACATTTAGGAGATACTATATAATATAATATAGTGTTCTTGCATGTAATGGTCGATGGAATGATGTTACAATTTTATTATGCATGGCATACTAATAAATACAACACTGATAATAAACTTTCGGATGCATGTTTTGTACATCCGTTAAGACACATGTAACACACCATCAAGCTCTTCTACGAACTTCTCCATCGCTTGCACCGGCAAGCTAATTGCAACAACAGTTCCTGTCACACCTTTTTTATTCTTAAACGGCACGTAGAAGCTCACTCCTGGAAACAAGGCAATACCAGCCTTAGCGGTTCCACCGTACACCGGTTTACCCCACGGCCCGAAGTCAACTTTTCCTAAATCAAAATGTCTTAGATCCGACACTATGTAGTTTCCAGCTGCCACAAACATAGGCCTCCCTCTAGTTGTCATTAATGCCGTTATCGACCGTATGTAGTCCTCTGTCACGCTAGACTTCGCCTCTTGTATCAACCTAAGAGGAAACTCAAGCGGTTTCTCCATAAGATCTTTTGCGGTAGCTATTGCCACAGGGATGGCAAAAACGTTACCGTAGTAACCCGATGGTATAGGCGGGTTGCTAAGTTTGGAACGAGAATTGACGATGCATGTCATTCGCATCTCGGTGTTGGGGTCAGGACTCAGTGCAACCGTCCGACAACGCCACAAAAACGATGTTATCACTTCAAAAGTAGTGTTGTGGAGATCTGTCGGGAGGAGTCTCCGTATAGCGGAGATCTCCTCCGGACCAAAAAAGAAAGACTTACTAACTAAAAAGTCTCCGACAACTACTGCTTCAGGCTCCACTTTATCGTCATACTCCCGGTGTGTATGGGTCACACGCGCAGAGGCACTCGCAATCAGCAAGTGTCTCTCCCACACTGGTGGAACCGATGGCGCGTGTAACCCACATGCCAACTCGCATAATGATTTCAGAAAGAGGGACAGACCGGCTCCATCGGTCATGGTGTGGTTGAAACGGAGGGCAAAGATGAATCCACCGCACTTGAGACGCGTGACCTACATTCATGCGAACGTTTTAAAATCCATTTACTTGCGAAAACAATAAAACATCTTCATTAGAAGTTTCTCAACACCAATCTCTCACCAATTATATTAATATTTAAGTTAAAAATTTCTTTTAAAAAAATTGAGAGATTCATTCGAGTTCACATAGTATATATGGTGAAAAATTATTCAATGCGGGTTGTCTAAGAACTATAAAGATAAAATGATATTTATCACGTTTGATATACCTGAACGAGAAGTAAAGGAGTGTTAAGCAACTCACTCGAACCTTCTACGTCAAAGAGAAGCTCTTCTAAACAAGGGAAAGGAGGAAGAAGAGCATCAGCTTCTTCCAACTCAGCAAAAGTAACGTCAGCATCTGCTTCAATGAACAAAACGCCTTCTCCGGTACAGTCCACCGAAAGTTTTCGGTTAGGACCTTCTCGGAGCCTACCAGCGAACGGGTAATAATAAACCAGCGTCTGCGCAAGAGCTCTCCTTATCACTTGGACGGGGTCAAGATTAGTAGTAAGGTTAGGTCTATAGAAAAAGATAACAGGAATTTGAAATCTTAGTCCTTGTTGGTCATCTATGTCGGAGAGAGGCTTGAGCTCTCGTGGTGTTGGCTTAGCCGGAGTGACCAGCTCAGGCTGTTGTCGATGAACATTAAAGGAGAGGGATGTGTTTGTGGATGGTGGCAAAGACGCTTGATAGACCATGTTTTGAGACTTTTTTGAGGATAGACTTAGCATAAGACACAATTTTAACCACATATATAATATACAACCACACACAACTTAATAGCACATATGTTAAACATTGTCTTTGTTTGGTACTATTTTGTTTGTTAATGGGTTTAAGAAAAATGTGTGTTTCTGTTTTATTTTTTTCAGTTGGGCAAGAATGATTTATTTCATCTTTTTAGCATGACTTATAATAGAAAGTATGTTAACTGCGCTTTCTTTATATTCTTAACACACAAGTAGCCATAATTATATTTCTTATCCAAATGAGAACAATACATGCAAATGATTAAAAGATGGTGAGGACTCAAGTATCTCTGTGGATAATATAAACATGAAACCTTGGTGATCTTCACTTCTTTTCAAGGTCAGAAAGATCAAAGATCCAATTGACAAATGATTTGTCTCTCTAAAGTACAACGTGTCAGAGTGAAACTATAAAGCATGATAAAAGGAAAAAGAAAGAACTGATCAAGAAAAATACTCATAATAAGAATTTATCACATATTTAACCAGAAATATCGCAAAGGAATAAAACAACTTATGAAGGGTTGACGTTTTTCACTGAGAAAATCCCACAATATCATAACAACACTTCCTACATCTCAGCATGAACCACACTTTTCTTCTAACGTCTCTTTTTTTCTTTCTTTTATAGCTTTTGACTTAATCTTCAGTACTGAAGAATGCTTTTGTCTTCCTGTTCTTTGTTTTTTCTCCATGGTTCCATAACTCCGTGAGCCACAAGATTTAGACAACAAGTTACATTCACACTCTCTCCATTTGACAGAAAGTCTACTACAAAAATGTCAGATAGATACCCAAAGAACACAATGACCCGGTAAGACTCTTATTCTCTTTGGTTCAGGAATTGATTTTTACAATATTATTAGCCCTAATGTTCATCGTCTGTATAGAAACTCAAAGCCACCAGATCTTGAACTCTACCTGAAAGGAGTGCCGTTTCATCTTCACATAGTAAGCTTTCTGCACTCGATTTCCCTGAGGTTCTTCTTCTGATTTATAGGGTTTTTGGTTTTGGTGTTTGTTTAGGAAACTTTGGCTAAAAAATCTGCTAAACTGACAACATTACTCGAGTGTAACAAGATTGATGAACTGCGCTGGATCCTCAAAGACATCGACGTGGACCCGACAACCTTCTTCCTTGTGGTTAGCTTCTGCTATGGCTACAATATCCATTTATCATCTGAAAACATCATCTCTGTTCTCTGCACTGCTTATCTCCTAGAGATGAACGATGATCACAGCTCTAGTAACTTGTTGAACAAGGCAGTAACGTTTTTGGAGCAACGAGTTCTTATAAGCTGGAACGAGACAGTGAAATCTCTTGCTGTCTGCAGCGATAAGATTCTTGACAAGGTAGATGATGTTGGACTCACTGAAGTCTTCTTAGATTCTCTTCTCGAAAAGGCTCTCAAAGATCCTAGATTACTCGAAGATCTGATTACCTTACCTCTTAGGTTATACGAACCATTGATCCAGGAATGTAGTAAGCACAGTGTCACGACAGACAACCTCGTGGCATCGGTCTGCATTTATGCGAAAAGATGGGTTTTCGAGAAAGATTCAGGAGATGAAAGCGTTTCAAGAAGCAAGAGACAAGTTCTGGAAGCTGTTGAGAGGCTTTTGTCTCATCAAAGAGGAGCTGTCTCTAGTAGATTCTTGTTCAAATCTCTTAAAGAATCAATGTTTCTCGATGCTTCCTCTGATTGTCGAAAAGGGTTTGAAGATAGGATAAGCAAGCAGCTAGATATGGCTACATCAAAAGATCTTATGATGCTATTACCAAACAAAGTGGGAGCATATGACATCAACCTCTTGAAAACCCTTCTCAAGAGCTTTTACAGTAACTACAACGTCTCTGACGTTTCAAGGTTTGTTAGTGTAGCAAGAATGCTTGAAGAGTTTCTATTGGATGCTGCAGCGAGTGATGCTGGTTTAAGTGTGGAAACGTTTAAGGCGTTAGGAGAAATAACGGTTGCCGCGTCTTGCGATGTTTTGAGATACTCTGATGGAACCTACAGAGCAATTGATGTGTTCTTGGAGAGGAGGGATAGAGATCTGACTGAAACTGAGAAGATGGAAGTTTGTAGAGTTCTTGACTGTAAGAAGCTTTCACCAGAGGCTTGTGAACATGCTTCAAAGAATGAGAAGCTTCCGTTTAGGATAGTTCTGCAGGTTTTGTTCTTTGCTCAGAAGCAGATTCAGGCTAAGGTGGCTAGAGATATGAAAAGTGTAGAGGAGAAAGATGATGATGATGATGACATTGAGGATATGAATAAGAAGTTGCTGAGGCTTGACATTGAATCTGATTACAGAGAGATTGAGAATCTTGAATGTGTTGTTCATCATTGCTCAAAGAAGAAGGAAGAGAAGAAGATAAGTGTGTGGAGAGAAGTGAAGAGGAAGTTTGGTTGCATGACTTCTTTGACTGTGGATGCTTGTAATTGTCACATCAAGAAGAGGAAGAAGACTTATCATCATCACTACTAGGTGACCAATAACAACTGCACTCTCTGTTCTTGTTATGTTATAGTTTCACATTTGTTCTGTTTCTTTCTCTGTTTATGGCATTTGCTTTATTTAAAACTAGGATATGAATCCTGCACAGTAATTAGTCATTATTCTGAGACTGGTTGTGAAAAGCAAAGCAAAGAGTAGAGATGGCAGAATGATAAAGACACAATTAAAATACATTTGAGGAAGATAAACATAAACAGAGATCCTTGAGTGATTTTACAGAACCCAGAATCTTCCCATTCTCATGGACACAACAAAAGCCACCAGTATAATCACCAATAATAACTTTAAATTACAAACTCATCATCTTCGAGAAGAACTTGAAAGATCGGTTTAGGTGGTTGCAAGACCGGTTTAGGTTGGGTTGCAAGACCGGTTCGGTTCCAAAATTATTACCGTCCGTTAGGAGAAAAGCATGCCATCGAAACAGATTCAAAACTTAAAGGAAATATAGCCGTTATGAAATGCGCTAGCTTTCTCTATAAATATGCAACACACTAGAACTAAAAAACATTAGATTCAGACAACAAAAACCAGTCATAACTCAAAAACACACTATAATTATTCAGACAAACAAACCAAACCATTATCTCCTTCTTTCCTCTTTTCTCCAATTACATCAATGTCTGACAGACCGCTAATGTCAAAAATACAAATCTCCAACCTCCTCCTTCCACTAAAACTCTCTGTAAATCTTTCAATCCCGTCTCTGTGCAATGGAGAAACCACCGGAAGAGTGAAGAAGGGTTTCGAAATCGATCAAAACCGGTCTACAATTCAGGGTCGTGGGGAGAATCACTCGTATCCTGAAGAAAGGCTCAAAGACACGGTGGTGGAGCTCCGGTTTACATGGCCGCCGTCCTCCTCGAGTACCTGTAGCTGCTGCTGAAGTTAAGTCTCTCGGTTCAGATCTGATTTTTGTTGTTTAACGAAAATCATTGTCAGATTTAGATTTTCTAAGATCTGTGATTCACTTCAGGTGTTTGCTGTCAGAGACAACAAGAAGTCGATCAAGTCATCTTCTTCTTTTGCCGTTTAGGAACGATGAAGATTTGGGTTTTACGCTTTTAACAAAATTTTCACTTTTTTTTTTTTGTAGTTTTCTTTTTAGAGAAAATTTGTAAAGAGAGATAAACATAGAGATAGAGCAATAGAGAGATAGATACGGAGAGAGGAGAGAGAGGGTAAGAAGAGATAGAGTTAGATAGATAGAGAGAGAGGGTAGGTGTGCGCTCGGGGGAGCGTGGCTCGGGGGAGCGTGGCTCGGGGGAGCGTGGCTCGGGGGAGCGCGGCTCCGGGGGGAGCGCGGCTCCTGGGGAGCGCGGCTCCGGGGGGAGCGCGGCTCCGGGGGGAGCGCGGCTCCTGGGGAGCGCGGCTCCGGGGGGAGCGGCTCCTGGGGAGCGCGGCTCCGGGGGGAGCGCGGCTCCTGGGGAGCGCGGCTCCGGGGGGAGCGCGGCTCCTGGGGAGCGCGGCTCCGGGGGGAGCGCGGCTCTGGGGAGCGCGGCTCCGGGGGGAGCGCGGCTCTGGGGAGCGCGGCTCCTGGGGAGCTCCTGGGGAGCGCGGCTCCGGGGGGAGCGCGGCTCCGGGGGGAGCGCGGCTCCGGGGGGAGCG